CCGCCCCCGGGGGCGGGGGGGCGGCGGCTCGAAAACACCGCCCCTTCTCGCGAGGCCTGGTCGCTCGCTGCCCCTGCGAACCTGCACCTTCCGCGGCAGTGTATCCTTCGGGGACGCCGGTCTGCCCCTGGGCGTTGGGGCTTCCGGGCTTGGAGGTTCCCCGAAGGCCTGCCGAGTCCCGGGCGCTGCAGTTCACAAGAGCTGGTGCCGCCAGTAATTCTTCCTCAGCCGTTAGGATGCCCCAGGACGGGTGGTTTGGCGGTAGGAGGCTGAGGCTAGTTCCTCCTCTGATTTTCCTTTCGGCCCGGCAGCCGGGATGACCGACGGATTTCCTCATTTACTACAGGGGTCAGTTCAGTGATGCCAGAACAACAGAGAGTCCTGAGTAGGTAAAGGGTACGTTTCTTTAATCAACAGTGACGTGCAACTTGTATATGGAGAAGATTGAGACGCGCATGTAGTCCTGTCTGATGTAGCCATCCCTGTTGGCATTAAGATGTGGACTACAACTCCCAGAATTCCCCAGCCAGCATGCTGCTGCAGACCACCCATCTTAAAGCTGCCAAGTTTAAAAAACTTGGCTCTATTGTGTAATATTTACACTGACCATACGTCCGTTATTATAAAGGACAATCCTTTATTTCAGAAAGCTGTCCTTTAGATTTATTTAATTTTATTATTTGTTTCCTTGGTTTTGCTCTTGAACGTTCCTTTGTAAAGCAGGTACAAAAGTTATAAACTTTTTTTTTTAATCCTTATGAACTTCTTTCAGGTTTGCCCTTTTTTCAGGTTTGTCCTTTATTTTTTCCAAGAAAATATGGTCACTGTAGTAATATTCCATTGTGGTGGTACTGGATATGCCAGGTTTTTGACGGCAGGAAGAGGAAAGAAAGAGGCTGAGGCCTGAAGATCAGCCTCACTGTGTTTAAAGATATGCTGAAGCTATTTATTTATTTGTTTGGCATATTTAGATAAATATTTATATTTTTTTATAAATAGTATATGGTATGAATATAATATTTATATAACATTTGTATTTTATATTTATATAAAATATAAAATCATTGACAATTCATGGAAAAAAATCTATCTTTGTGGTCGCTAGGAGTTGAAAATGACTTGATGGCACATAATCAATATTTATAGACCACCAAAATAGCATTCAAGAAATTATTTTCACTTGGGCCACATTGTGTAATATTTGGCCACTTTCACATGAGAACTCTGCACCAGTTTGAAAGAAGGTCTGGACCTTTGGGACCCCACAACTTTGGCTGAGTTTGAGAAATGAGCCAATTTATTTCCAGCTCAGCTGTTGTGTGTTGAACCCACATTAAAAAAAAATAGACTTTTTTTTTTTTAATGCTGATACTCTTTGGAGTTTGTGGACTGTTTCCGCATCTGCAAGAACTCCTGCCTTGCCATATTTTCCCAGCTCCTCATACTAGCGTCATAGTTTTTCAAAGAGGAAAGTAGTTTGTTAGATTTGCTGCTCCCCCTCATAGGAACCACTCTTTTTTGTACAACCATTATTTATCTGTTGAGAACTCATGACTCGGCATTGGTTCTTTGTGAGTGTGAGGTTGGTAGACAAGATACTCGCTGATTATCTTCAAACTACTATTGAGAGATTAGAGAGTGGAAGCAAAGATATGGAAAAGCCCATGTTTATAGTGCCTTTCCTGAACCGTTATTTTTCCATATTCTAGGAAAATATTAAATATTCAAACAAGGTTAATACAATTTCCACATATTTGTGTTATACCATATTAATCTCTTGAACAAAACTTTTTTATATATACAAGAGTGTGTGTGTATGTATCAAATTATTTGGGACCACAGACAAGCTGAGAATATTTCCATTTTTCTTCCCAGATTCTGAAAAGGTCATCCCACTGGGTCCTTTTTCCTTGTCACAAAGAAGGAGTATTTACCACATCTTCAGTCCTATTTGTTCTTATTTATCCAAAGACTCAGGACACAGAGAAATAAATGTAGGTTAATAATGTTCAGTATTCACTTTCTGAACCAAAAGCTTCATTCATTCCTATGTGTACAGGTAGTCCCCAGTTTAAGAACAAGTTCTGTTCCCAAGGTCTGTCCTTAAATTTGTATGTAAGCCGGAACGGTATTATTGTATAATACTGTATAAGTGATATTGCGTAATTAACCTGAACCATTGTGTATTTAACTCGAATCATTGTGTATTTAACTCAAATTATGCTACAATAGCTATGGGTCATCCATAAACCAGGCGTTCTTAACCTGGGGACTACCTGTATACCGTTTCAACTCAAAATCTAGCTGGCCAGGTTACATTTGGATTCCAGAATAGTGAAGGATACACACCAAACGTGATACTTTTTTCTGTGTAATGGCTCCAAAGCGCTACAGTTCCCATCTTTTAAAAGTTCATCAATCAGCTGGCTGCCCATCTGCCCAGCTTCCTAATATCCCCCATTTCCTTGGAGTGAGCCTTCAGGGACCGCTTTCCAGCATCTGCAGTATTATTACCCCCTCTCCCGTATGAGACTGTTCCATTTAAAATTATGTTTAGCCCTGCTCTGCCCATTCAGTCCATCATATCTTCATCGGGTTTCATATTCATCAAAAGACTTAGAGCCCTGCTTTACTTTACTGACAATAAAATGTTTGGGATGCAATCTCATACCGTTTCTAACAATATTAAGTTGATTCGTATCATCGCTAAAGCAATTACAGTGTCATATTTTATTCTGCATTCCCGGGATGTTAAAAAAGCAAGTACCATTCTTTTTATAAAGCCAAGATGGATCTTAAGCTGTGTTATACAACTTTCTAGCGCATTCTAGGAGGATATCAGGACTTAATGGTCCTGTCTATCAGCCATCTCTTAAACTTTGTTGGTTTAATTCTGGAAGTTGAAGTCCACACAGCTTAAAATTGCGGAGGCTGAGAAACACTGGTCTAGACCCAAGGCAGTCCACAAGTCCCAGTCCCAGGGTCATAAGCTGAAGATCCATTTGCAGTGGAAGGAGTCGGGAGAATGAAACCATAAGAATGCAGGTCAGGAAGCAGGAGACTTGTTTCCAACAAGGAGCAAGCCCCAGAGCAAGGCTCTGGCTGCTATATAGCCAGGATTATTGGCCTCGCTTAGGAGTTCTTAACTGGCACTGTGTTCAGACAGGTGGCACTCACTTCTGATTATCAGAATCAGCCCCCACTTGTTCAGAGCTAGTCATTTTCCCAGGAACAGCTTCTGGTGACAGACTAGCCATTGTTTCCTCAAATATAGGTCGACAGTCCTTCAGATTCTGCTCTCCAGCCTCAGAATCTGAGAGTATTTAAAGACAAGAATATTTAAAATGGAGGCCCAGTCTCAAAATCACGTAGCACTTTAAAAATGCTAGGAAATAAGTACTGAACCTGAAGTATTGTCTCAAGAAATGCACAAGCTCCTAGACCATTCTTTTTCAGTGTTGCATGGTACTTCTTGTGAGTGTGGATTGTTTTAATTTGAGGTGATTCAATGCAGATTTCTGGACTTTTGTGTTGGACTCATAGCTAGGATTAGCTATAACCAAGTGCAAGAAGTCTGCTCTGGCTGGTTCTATACTCTCTAGGACACTTGAAGTATAAATGAAATTTGAAAGTGATTGGCAACATTTTTTGGAATAAAACTCAACATGTTTAGCCTTGTTAGTAAGAAATACCCCAGCCTTAGTATTTTGCCCACATATGCTGACTGAAGGAGGCAAGTTGCTTAACACTCTCATAGGCTGGCATTTCACACACTGTTGTTGCAACGGGAGATTATAAAGTGCGTAAGTGATCATCTTTCTCCATCTGCAAGGCCCTGCTAGTTGCTGTAGAAATGGGGTCCAGCCTCTTGGCAGTGGCAATTATGAGAATTGTTCTGCTACCCACTTCTTGAAATTTGTTACCCCACATAACCCAGACCTTAAGAAGCAAATTCTACCCAGGAATTGCAGTTGTTTAAATTGAAAGTTGGCACTTTTGTGGCTTTAGAGGATTTTCACAGAGATATTCATTTAAAGCACCTAAAATCAATACAAATCTAGTCTGCTAATAATTGCTAACTGACTGGGGGAAGGTGGATTGGGCTTGTTTCACTGTCTTCAGTAGCTGCCTGGTAGGGAAGGGAAGGGAAGTTATTCCCAACCAGAAAGAGTAACCCATTGACTGGCTGGGGAATTCTGGGAGTTGAAGTCCACACATCTTAAAGTTCCCAACGTTGAGAGAGACTGTTCCAGACTACAGTGGTACCTCGGGATACGAACGCCTCTACTAACGAACTTTTCGGGTTACAACCAGCTCTGGGCGCAAAAATTTACCTCGATGTGCGAACTCCGCCTCGGGGTACGGTCATTTTTCCCCCCTGACACGTGGTCTGCGGCCATTTTTCCACCCCTGACATGTGGTCCGCGGCCATTTTTCCACCCCTGACACGCGGTCCGCGGCTGGTTTCCCGCC